AAGGCGGAAGATGCCGGTCCAACCGGGGGTGGTCGGAGGTTGCTGGAGGTGGCCGGGCGAGGAGGGCGGGCGGGAAGGTGAGACACGTCGCCGTGTTCATACCAGCGGCACGCAGGTCGGGCCACAGCGCGCTCGGCCCGGGGCCCACCACCAGCAGACCAGTGAGGGGCCCAGTCCCTTTAGTAAGTCTCGCCGGGGTTCGGGGCCGACTCCCTGGCTACAGCCTTCTGGGCCTCCGTCCGGAGGAGCGGGGCGGGAGAGAGGTGGGGCCAGGGGTCATGCCCCCCGAGACTCTCTCAAGCGCCACCTCGAGGAGAGTGGGTCGCTCCAGCTCTCTCCACCCGCTTTGCGAGGCAAACGACAAAATAATTCTTTCAGCCACGGTACGTTGGCCCAAAGCCCAGCGAGAGAGAGAGAGAGAGAGAGACAGAGACAGAGACAGAGACAGAGAGGGAGGGAGAGAGAAGTGGAAGTTGCGAGAGACGAAAAGGAAAAAGCAGTGGTAAAGCAAAGGTGGGAGTTGGCGCGCGGGTCCTCTGTTGCGGTGCTAAAGAGTTTAATGCATTTTTAAAAGCCACTGAAGCCTTGCTGTGCCGCCTTTGAACAAGCCCCAAAGATGGAGGATATCACTTTTTTCCTCCTTCCCTCCCTCCGCATACCTTCATTTATTCGCCCTTTGAAACATGTTTACCAAGCCGTAATGCCTTATTATGTTTTTGAGGCAAGAGTTTCCACCGGAGAATCTTGCGAAAGTCGTTGCGTAACAGCGCGCCCGGCAGCAGCTGCTTCCGGCCGCAGCTGGCCGCACCTGGCGCAGCTTGACCCCGCCGCGCGCGTTACGAGTACAGCGCAGGAATGCACTTCCGCCAAAGGGAGGAGCACAAAGACAACGAGGCAGTGGCGCGGGCCGGGCGCAGCGGATATAACACAGAGACCGCAATAACATTTAAAGAGCCTTGGAAAGTGAGAGAGAGAGAGGGGGGGGGGGATGAATACGCGTATGTGTGAGGATGTTGTGTGTGTGTGTGTGTGCGTCTGTGTATGGCTCTGCAGTGAGTGAGTGTGCGTGGAGCGCGCGGAGCCGCCCGCTTACCTCTTCCTAGGCCTATAATGCGAGCGTTGTGTTATTCTTTCCTTGTTTCATGAAATATGCACGGCGCACCGTCATCATCTGCAAGAGCGAGCACGCGGGCGCGGCGGGCTATGTACTGACAAGCTCTGCTGAACCTTTTCCCCCAGGCCAGCCTGGCGTGCGTCGAGTAGTGCACGCTCAAGTAGTGCCTCGTCGTCTACCGTCTAGCAGCCCCATATGCGGCTCGCACGCCGCCTCCCCCATACTGGTCGAGTGTATGTGCAGCTAATTGGTGTGCCGTTACGGCCATACGCGACTCTATATGTAAGTATAAGAGTGCGTGTGTGCGTGTGTGAGAGAGAGAGGCGAAAGAGAGAGCGTGCGTGTCCACGCTGGAATAGAAGGGACAGCTTTTGAACGAACGGTTGATGTATCGTTGTGCACATCAAATTAAATTTTGTATCTACGTTACGGACAGAATAATCCTTCCGGCAAAAATTGAATCTGATGGAGATGTGCATAATGAGGACACTGAAAAACGGACAGAAATTGCCCCTCCCCGTTTAGAGCGTCTGTGAGGGTCTGTGCGTGAGTGTGTGAGTGTGTGTGTGACAGCGCGCGCGCGCGAGCTGCAGCACGGGGGGCGGTAAGCCAGCGCAGGCGGCGGGCGGGTGAGGGGCGTGTGCGCTGGCATTACGCACGGATGATTAGGGCGGGAGGCGAGGTGGAGGGGGG